GAGGAGGATCTCAATCCGCGATTTACGTCAGCACCTCGCTCACACAGAAATTCCACCTGTTTAAAATAAAACAAAGACTGTCTTCAGCAAACATTCAAAATCATTCCCATCTCAATCACAAGCTTCCGGAAACATGAAATGTTTGAAGAAAATGTTATGAGCCACATACCATTTCCTGTGTTCCAAAAGCCGAGGCCCAGTTTAAGAGGGTCTGCCCCACGTCATCCATAAAGTTAACCTCAAATCCTGTCACCCCAACAAAAGTAAAACAAACACAAGCTCACACATCAGTTGACAAAGGTAGAATATAAACACTCATTTACTTACAAAAAGATGCAATTTTAAATCTCATTCTCTCATTAATCCATTTTATCTGCATTTTTTTTTTAAATATTTAAAATGTGTTGCCTCAAATTCATGATAAAACACTTGAAAATGGGGATACCAGGTAATACAAATCTACATGCCATTGTTAGGTTTAAATGCAAGACTTATTATGTTAGTTAACTTGTTTACCATTGTCTATTGCATCTATCAGAGCGTCAGTGTCCTTGCTGCGGATACAGTCAATCAGTTGACGGTGAGATCTGTCGCCGGCGGAATCGCTGCGACGTAGGCCGGACAGTCGACTACTGATACTGGAGATTCCAGCTTTAGGCAGAGCTTTACGTCCCTCAAACAGTAGAACCAGTAACAGATCTACCAGTCTCATTGTGTCTAGAGAGCACCTGCAAGATTTCACAAGATAAAATTTTGATTTTATAAATAAGAGCATTCAAATGTTAAAAGAAATAATGTACGCCAGAAATACTTTCTCCTTCATGTCCTTGTGGTATTAATTTATGCTATGTAAACAGTCATAAATTTTCCACTGAAATTTATGGAGTTCCAGTGTTTTTAAAATACATGCACATTTATGGTATAATTACATATAGAGGCCATCTTAGAAATATTTGTCACTTTTTTTCTGTGGATTGAACAGAAATTGTGATAGCATAATTATGATTCCTGTGGGGAAAAAAAGTATGTTTTAAGTACTTTCTAACTCTACCATCTCACTAGAGAACCAACAATCTTACCTTTCGTCTCCTCTGAGTCCACTTTCAATGGCGTCTGGCAGATCTGACCTCAGTAGATCATGTGTGATGGTTGGTGACCCGCGACAGAGCGTGGACAGGAGGCTAATCACCGTGGAGATACTAGGACTAGATTTTGCCTCCTGTAGACTGAGGTTCCCGGGGGTACTGGCCGTGGACTGATTAGGCCCAGTCTCTCCAGCCTGTTGTAATCTCTGGAGTAGTTCGTCTATCAGGCCGTGCTGAGCCAGAGGAGCCGGATCCACCCCTCTCCGAGTGAAGCGGTCTGCTAGGGACGCAAAACATCTCAGGGCCCCATCAGCCACCTGTTATAGATTAAGAAGCTTTATAAAATCAGTGACCATCAACAAAGAAGATCTTCATGTAAGATGCTTTATAAAATCAGCAACCATGATCTAAAGATCTTCATACAAAAGCTTTAACAATCTTTGTTTTAGTGGACAATTACCACTGAAACTCATAAAGAATCCAGGGGTAGATCAAACTTAATATACATAAATGTGAGAAGATTGTGCAAAGCATTTAAAAGAGCAAAATTTTCTATGTGACATGTTTTTTTTTCTTTAAGTTCTCTTCAAGTGCATTTTATGCTTAAATAAGAAATAAACTGCAGCATCTGAAAGTTTTTCTTTTTATTTCACTGTTCACTGCTATACAAATCCTTGTCCTCAGCTACAGCTGTGATCATCAAGAGGAAGTTAAACTTGGTCTTATAAGCTCACCCTCATCTTTTCCTTATATACCAATGCACAGACTCTTGAATTTTAGTAACATGTATATTTTAATAAACAACTCTTGACTTGACTTACATACTGATCCTCGTGTTCAAGCAGTGTAGACAGGGACCCCACACAAGTTTCCAGGGAGGCGTCCTGTGGCTCCATCTTACCGCAGAGTCGGGACACCACCGCCATCGCGGAGTGTAGGGTGTCCTTGTGTACCTGGGATCCATACTCCGTTATAAATGTCAGGACACAGTTCAGGCCCCCGGCATCAAAAACAGCACTGGACTCACGGGTACAAATCCTCTCTAGCACCTTAAACGAGAAAAATATCTCGTATTTCTATCTGTATATGGTATAATGGAAAAAAATTAAAACAATAACTTAATATTCTATCTGAAACAAATCAGAAAAGAATTTTATTCTTATCAGAATACACATGTACCTTTTCTTTACATTTCTTTTTTCTATTTAGAAATATTACTCTTTTTTATACATGTAATTTGTCAAATAAATAGAGAGAAATACAGCACTTTGGTTAAAATTCCTCAAACTTTTTTTTCCACATCGTTTACTACATATTCAATCTCATGATAATTTTTTATAAAATTTTTCATGTACCAAAAAATAAACTATAAATAACAATAAAATCTATTTTTAAATGAAAAATTTAAAGTAAAATGATATTTTTCACTAGAATAAATTTTCTCAGATAATCATCTGTTGCTGTCTTTCTTGACTTCCCAGTGTTTACATAATTTGGCACACTTTCAGCACTGCACCCACCCACATCATAGTAAACAAACCTTAATACACTGCTCTGCAAGATCTCGGCTATTTTTAGATGCCATGTCAACTACAACCAGCCTATTGCACAGAGATTTGATGGCGCCCTCTACACAGACAATGCGACGGGTGCATTCTGCCGAGACATCCAGGTAATAGGTGATGGCCCGAGCCGTGACTTCTAGTACATTGTCTGGGGCACATTCATCCAGAAAAATTCGACACAGGGCGGGAAGAAAAGTTCTCGGGGGACAGCTGGAAGTTAAAAAGTTTTTTTTTAATCAAAATAAAGTGTAAATGATAGACAAAGCTGGCAAACATCTTGGATTCTTGGGATTCTCATTTTAATGTTAAAATGTCAATAAATTTGGCAGTGAAAAAACCAATAAAGTTTATTTTGGCAGTGAAAAAGAATATATTTAAAAACAATCTAGAAATAATTTTATTTTTAAACTAATTTTATCTGATAATAGGGAAAAAACATATTTTTAAAAAGGATACTGTTCTAAGAAATAATTTTCAACACAGAAGTAGAATTATTAACATTCTTCCTGTTGCAAATGTAACAAAAAATATTCTTTGGTAGCTAGCTTGATTAACTTTTACACTTCCTTAAATATTCATCACAATTCACCCATTGACATACAATTGCATAAAAAAACAATTTCATGCAAAAAATTTGGATTATCAGAGAAAGAAACCCCTAACAGAATTAAAAAAAACACAATGAGACTTTGAAAGTTCAATGACATTCAACAAGGCTGCTGAAATGTGTGTAAGATATATTCACACAAGAACTTTTTTGGTTTTTGTTTTATACAGGGCACCCCTAATTATATTTACTACAAGGTACTTTATTCAATTTCAGACCTCCCCACATTTAGCAAGTACTGTAAAATCACATATTTTCATGGGGTCAAATTTTCATGGTTTGAGGAAAAAAGCTAGTATTTTATTAATTTTTCAATCATGCGGGTCTACTTTTACAAAACATAGTTCATTCTGGAGACTTTTCTAAAGGCAAACTATGTCAAATTTTTAAACATGTTATTAAAAGTTGGAAAATAATTGATATTCATAAAATACTGCTTTGAATTGGGGTTGTCTGAATTTGAGTTAGGTACCCTGACGTAAAAAATATATACATTCAAGTAGCGGTACCCTGTACACAAAACAACCCTGTCTTCAGCCACAGTTTGGACTCTGCATTATAGCTCTCTCTTACCCATGGGTGCTTGATCACATAAAGTGCTAAACTGTCATAATCTTGAATATTTATACCTCTATGCCATCATGTTAACTAAGCCAATGACAATATCTGTTTCCATCACAATTGAAATCAACAATTGAATCAGAATGATTAGCACAATGTGATTTGGTATTGAAAGATCGCATTATAGTTCATTCTCTACCATGGCAAGAATGTAATAGGATCATACATTTTGACAGTGGTTTGCGACAATGGCAAAACAGGTGCATGTTGTGGACCATCATGAATTGGACAGCATTCAATTTACTGTATAGATACTTGTGAAAGTGATGAGGAATACCCTGTTGTGAAACTTGTGTTTTACATCTTTGACAGAAAACCATGACGAAAACCATATCAGGGGAATTTTTTAGCAAGACACAAATCTTGATTTAATTTATCATGAATTTCAATATCTAATTTTATTGAAAAGTAATTTAATAATTTTATGGTGTAAAGAATTAATAAAGTAAACGGTTACCTCGAATGCTGATTAAATTGCTAGTGATATTTAATTTTAGCAATTTCAACAGTGAAAACCATCGCAAGAAAATACCACAATTCCGTTTATATAGTACATGTAATTACCTTTCAAAGACTCGGTCCACGTTGTCTGACATCAGCAGCAGCATACAGAGCTGTTCCAGGGCAATCAGCTGCATGTCCCTCTCCTCCCCCTGCCCCATCTGGAGCCATTCCAGTAGGGTCTCCGGGTCCACGTCCGCCATGGTCAAACAAAACCACTACGCACTAGACCACGGCAACTGATGCAGTTGCTGGGTCTAAAAATAACTCAAATATTTTATAATTTCCACAATATATCCTGGAAATAACCAACTTCCAAAACGAAAGTTAAAATCAACAGACCCTAGTCTGTTAAGTGGGTAAATATTGAAACTCCTAAACACTTTCCTAATTTACAAACCAACCTATAAACAGTATCTGATTATTTACGAAATACTGTTAATTTACATTCGTCAGTCGATCACGCAATCACAAAGACTTGTTTACTAGATTCGGAACCCTTTCATTTTTAACAAAACTAGGCCATCAGAAGTATATCATATAATGTTTTCCAACAAAGAATAAAACATTAGCGGTCATTCACATACATTGTACTGTTCCTTTCTCTGAGCATATCTGAAAATAGATCCCTATTTCTCAGACTTGACCTCGATTTGACTTCCAAGCCGGAAGATGTTCCGAAAGTACATCATCAAAGGTAGGACTAATTTCAGAACACAAACGTAGACGATTTCACCTTTCTTTTAATGTTTTTGTTTTTTTTTTTATTTTCTAGGTTATTTTTGCATTGTTTGTTATTAAGCAAATTATTGTCAGCTAGGACCTAATTATTTTTTTTAATTAATGAAAATTCTTCTCAGTTTCTCATAAAGTTTCTTTACTTGTTTCTTTATGAAGTAAAATACAGGATAAAGAATGAAAAATATAGTAAATTTTGCTTCAGATCAAAACGTTTTACCCGTAGAAAACTTATAATTATCGAAAATAACAACAAATCAAGATTATGTAGAATTCTGTACGTCTTTTGCTGTTTTTATACTAACCGGAAATATTGAAGGTTACGTAAAGTCAAAGTCCGGTAGCATGTGGATTGTGACATGAGAAACCGGGTTCCGGCGTGACAGAAGACAAGAAATAGCAGTGCGGGGAAAAGAAAGCAGAGAACATGGATACTGGGGTACAATCTCGGGCAAAGCACAAAAGGTGAGGTGTTCTTAACCTGTGACTTTCATGTCACCCACTGAATGTGCTCCTGCAATGCACAGCAGTGCAAATAAGCACCTAACTTATTTTCTGAAGTCAGGTAGAACATAATCAGGTTGGGCACAGCCTACCAAATGGTACTTTATCCCCCGTTTGGTAGATAATCTACCATATCGGTAACGAATTTTACTAACCAAATGGGGGACTTTTTTTATTCTATTGCAATTTTTATTAAAATAAAATAAAAGCGCATTTATTCAGGCATTGGGCGATTTTAGTGAACATATTCCTCGTACAATTAACATAAATCGGTCGAATTTCTATGTGTAATTTCTCCGTAACTTCGTAAAAACAATACCCATAGTTATCTGTAACAGCCGAACTTCTTGATCAAACGATAAAAAAAAAATCTTTATTGTGTCTTGTTGGATAAAAATCCAATTTTAAACAGTGATTTAACTCATGATGAGTTAACTTTCAATCTCTTTTTGGATCTTCGTCAATGTTTATCTCCATAAAATCCTGTTAAACACAAGCTTCTCATGCCTTACCGGTATGGTGGGCACTTCCTGCTTTAAAGTTAATTTTATCCAGAGTTGTACGTAATATTTGTTGTTATTTTTCTTTTAGGATGAAGTTGCAGATTCCATGCGATCTTTTGGGGTTTAATATGCATATTACTGGTGAATTTAATAAATTCGAAAAATAATATTCAATAAAAGATGTACAAAATGACTTTTGCCATTATTCTTGTTTTTGTTCCAAGTACATCGTTTTAAAACAATAATTATGTCATACTCCAACTGCATTTACTATTTCTATGAAGAACAAAGCCATTGTGTTCAAAATAAAAAGAAATAAAGGCAAAACTTATTTTTCTTCTGATTTCCTAGTTGAAAATTAACACAAATGTGCCTCCGTAGTTAAATCCGACTTTTCATCTAGTTTAAAAAAGATCATCGTTTTGATTGGTTTGCACTTATTGATTGGTTGCCCGGATAATCGAAATGGAAAGTAAAGGACATGATTGACAGGTGCAGCATCGTTGGAGAAGGAGAGAATTTTCTTTTAAAGTAAAAAACGGAGAAACATTGCACTTGTTTACATATATATAAACTCATTATGAATTAAAAATTACATATATCATTTTTTTCTATTTATTTCCTTTACGAACTTGGTATATTTTTCTCAAATTCTGATACGAGGAACAATGTTTATTTATAGTCTTAATTAATTTTTGATTTGATTCCAATGTTTTTTGATTGATTTAGTGTTTGCACTATAGTTAATTGGATTATTAATCAATATCAATTTTAATAAGGGGTACATCCGTGTTATTTTTACTAATTGCGCTAATGTTACATGTTTTGAAAACAATTAGGACTGAGACGTTAATAGGTCCATTATAGAACTGAACAACAGATATTGAAGGTTTTACCTTTGCAGGGTTCGAAATTAACTCATGTCCGTAAGTCCGAGACTAGTAAAAATTGTGTCGGACTAGCAGATTTTGTAAGGTACTAGTCCGTACGGACTAGTGCAAATCCAGATATAAGTCTTGAATTGGTTCACATTTTATTAATTTTATTTCCGAGTCTCGTAGATGTTTGAAAATAAATGAGAAACGCAACAACGATAAAGCGTTTTCTAGATTGTGATCAATAGACAACTTTAGACGTGACCATGTGGAGATTTCTGAAAGGTGAAAACCCTCTTTCTTTCACCACATGCTTCCAACTGATGTGTGGACACATATTTCATTGAATTAATTGATAAAATTTTAAGAATTTGTATTATTCTTTTTACATACTATAGGGTGGACTAGTGGAATAGGTTGCGGACTAGTGGAAGCTAGAAGTCACTAGTCCGTGGGGACTAGTGCTAAAAAAAGTTAATTTCGAACCCTGCTTTGAAGAATCTCGATTGTACCAAAAATTTGGAAAGAAATTCCTTAGATTTTATTCTACATTAAATGAAGGCGAACGGACCCTGTGCGAACAAGTTTTAGGGCGAGCGGACTCTGGGCGAACGAAAAGCGGGCGAAAGGGATATCGGGCGAACATTTTTTAGGGCGAAGGAACATTGAACCGAATCAGATACAGTGGAGCCTCATTTACTCTTTGTTTTCTAGTCAATTTTCCGGATATGTTAAGCATTAAGATACCTGAATTACCAGTTACACAAGACAAAATAACATTAAAAAATTCCGTTCCGACAAAAATTGTCTGATCGATACCAAAGCATCCAGATATCTGGCGTCTGGATATCTGAAGGTCCACAGTATAAAAGCTGGGACCCAAATCACTTGAACATATCTATGGTATTCCAGATATTGGTGTTCAAGATAATGAGGTTTGACTGTAATCTTGACTAATATAAAATATATATTATGCTATATTTGTAGCCATGTGTTTGGAGTGCTGTTCTTTAAGCGGTTCCTGAAGCTGACCGGGTACATGTTCCCCTCGTGGAGAAGTGTTCAGGTTCTCATCTGTTTCCTACTGCTTATTCTGGGACTGTTAGGTATGTAGTAATTCCTAGGGATACTCAGTCATTTTTATACGCCCGCCTTAAGACGGGACGTATTATGTTATAGGCTTCATGTCCGTCTGTCTAGCTGTCCATTCGTGTCCGGCTCATAACTTGAATACTATTAGACCTAGGATTATCAAACTTTGACAGTTGATACTTCTTGGGTAGACGGGTGAGTCGCGCACAAAAAGTAGGTTGCTCTGACCTTTAATAAAGATGCTATGGCCAAATATGGAAAAATCCTGTCCGGCTCATAACTAGAAAACTATTAGACCTAGAGCTTTCAAACTTGGCAAAATTATACATCTTAGGAAGAAGGTGTGTCGCGGCTTATTTCAAGGTCACTGTGACCTTAAATTTAAGTGAATTTTTTAAAAAAAATAAGTCTTTAAAATTTTAAATTTCATAATCCTAAAAAATGTAAAAATATAGTTGTATCCTTATTTAAAAATGTTAAATCAAGTAAAAACTTATTTTTTCATCATATACTTTACAGCAATCTGTATCAAATGTTAATGTTTTGAGAGGAATTCAGTTTGTCCCAGGGGCATAATTATCAAGCACTGGTCAAGAAGAATTTCGATAGCAGGAATTCGCATGTCAAATTAGAGAGAAATTAATGAGTTTATTGTCAGGAGCTAACTGGTAGATCTAGAGCAGATCTCTGATAATGCAGCTGTTATCTTTATCTTTAATCTCTTGGGAGTTGGGCAAAAAGAAATGGTCTCATAGTTGCTTTTGTTAATTAAGAGTTCTTGATGGCTAGTTCAGAAAAAGATCTTTCAATTGGTGTAATGTAATTAAAACAAATTGATGCTTTAAAATACAGTGTATGATAAAAACTAAATTAATATTGTATAATATAATTAAAACTAATCCTTATTAAAAAATGTTAAATTAAGTAAAAACTTATTTTTTTCATCATTATAATATATTTTAACAGCAATCTGTAACAAATGTAGCAATGAAGATAAGGATAACTTCTATAGTCAGCTGCAGGCGGAGACAGAGAAAACCCCAAGGCACGACCTACTTATCATCATGGGTTACCTCAATGCTAAGGTCGGAAAGGGCAACACCGACTATGAAAGAGTCATGGGAGATCAGGGGGTTGGGAATAGGAATGATAATGGCGAAAGACTGGTGGAGTTCTGTGCTATGAACAACCTAGTGATAGGAGGAACCCTCTTTACACACCCTGATATCCACAAGCTGACCTGGAACTCACCAAATGGAAGAGACAAGAACCAGATTGACCATTTGATGATCAATGGCATGTGGAGACGCTCTCTATTAGATGTTAGGGTCAAGCGGAGTGCAGACATAGGCAGCGACCATCACCTAGTGACAGTACTCATTAAGATCAAACTGAAAAAAGCTGAAGTAAGGGCTAATACTCAAACACGTTTTGACATACAGAGACTGAGGGAGAACACCGTGAAAGTTGCCTTCATCAGCGAATTAAGAAACAGATTCCAGATCTTACAAGATGCATATGATGAAGGTGAGGAGGCCAATGTGGACAACACCTGGAAGCAAGTGACCCAACTATACACTGAAAGCAGCAAAAAGAAACTAGGCTTTCGCAAAAGAAACACCAACAAAGACTGGATTCAGCAGGAGACTCTAATTGCTATAGAGGAGAGAAAGGAAATTAAGAAAAAGATGCTGCAGACCAAGTCCCCATGACTGCGTGAGAGGCAAGAGGAGATGTATGGTGAGGTCAACAAGAGAGTTAAGAAGCTTGCACGACGTGTCAAGAGAGAAGCCATGGACCAACTTGCAGCTGAGGCAGAGAAAGCACCAGTACGGGGAGAGCAAGGGAGAGTATATAAAATCACAAAACGAGTGTGTGGCAAATTTATAGGAAACACAGGAGGACCTATCAAAGACAAACATGGAACACTGCTGACATCAGAAAAAGATCAAGAAGAGAGATGGGTTGAACACTTCCGCGAAGTTCTTAATCGACCATTAGCTGATGAAGCTGTTGTCGTACCAGAAGCCACAGAGGATCTGGACATCGACACTGACCCACCAACTAAGGAGGAGATAATGAATGCAGTCAAGACTCTTAAGAACGGGAAGTCACCAGGACGTGACAATCTCGATGCAGAGCTATTTAAAGCAGACCCTGGAATAGCAGCCACCATCCTCCAACCACTGTTCACAGCTGTGTGGGATGGAGAGAAAGTACCTGATGATTGGTGTAAAGGGGTGATTGTCAAGACCCCTAAGAAAGGAGTCCTGAGTGATTGTAACAACTGGAGGGGAATCACTCTATTGTCTGTGCCAAGTAAGATCCTGGCCAAAATAATCATCAAAAGAATGTCAGACGCCGTTGATGCTGTATTGAGGAAAGAGCAAGCAGGATTTAGGAAACATAGAGGATGTACTGACCAATCTTTGCACTCTGCAACATCATAGAGCAGTGCACAGAGTGGCAGAGACAACTGTATGTAAACTTTGTGGACTTTGAGAAGGCATTTGACAGCATACACCGATATAGCCTTTGGAGCATCCTACGCCATTATGGTATTCCATTTAAAATGGTCCACCTGATAAAGAGCTTTTATAACAACTTCAAATGCTCAGTAGGACACAATGACACCTTCCTTCTTCGATGTTTAAAAACAGGAGTCAGACAAGGATGCGTAATGTCTTCAGTGTTTTTCAACCTGGTCATCGATTGAGACAACAGAAGACTCTCCAAGGGGGATCCGCTGGGGCCTGTTTTCAACACTGGAGGATTTGGACTTTGCGGATGACCTTGCTCTAATGTCTCATACACACCAGCATATCCAAGAGAAGATCAACCTGTTGCAAACCTATGGACAGCAAGTGGGACTACGTATCAGTACAAAGAAGACAGAGACAATGACACTTAATGTGGAATTGCCTGCCCCTGTTAAGATCAATGGGAAGGAACTACGCCAGACAGATAACTTTATTTACCTGGGTAGTATCATTACACCAGAGGGCGGCACAAAGGAGGACATACACAGCAGACTGGGCAAGGCCAGGAGAGTATTTAGGGAAATGAATAACATCTGGAGGTCTGCACAGTACAGCACCAGCACCAAGCTGAAGCTTTACCAGAGCTGTGTTGTGTCAACTCTCCTTTATGGATCGGAGTGCTGGAGAATAACGGAGACAGATCTTGGCAAACTACGATCCTTCCATACCACCTGCCTCCGCCGAATACTCAGGATTTTCTGGCCCGATAAGATAACAAACGAAGACCTGCTGAGCAGATGCAAACAAGAGGACATGGGTACCATCATAACCAAGCGCCGATGCAGGTGGATTGGACATATTCTCAGAAAAGACCCCCAGTCAACAACTAGAACAGCACTGCATTGGACACCAGAGGGCAAAAGAAAGAGGGGGAGGCCTAGAACATCATGGCGAAGGACAGTAGAAGGCGAGATGAAGGCAATGCACCAGACCTGGGGTTCGTTGACAAGACTAGCCCAGGACAAGCAAGGGTGGAGGAAGTTTGTTGCTGCCCTACACACCATAGGGTGTAAAGGAAGATGATGATGATGATGATGTAACAAATGTCAATGTTTTTTTAAGAGGAATTCAGTTTGTCCGATGGGCATAATTATCAAGCACTGGTCAAGAAAAATTTTGATAGCAGAAATTGCATGTCAAATTAGACAATATATTTGACGGGCGTATCATGCTGCGGGGGGGCACTTTATTTAAGTCAGCCAAAAACTAGAACCATATAAATTTCAAAAAAGTTTTACATGGTAGAAAGCAAATTTAAGAGGGATACAGCTTCCTCCTATATTAAAAAACTAGGGTGTACAACTGTACATGTTGTATACATGTATCTGTTTTGTTTTAGAACAAGTGGTCATTTTCTACATCGGTAACATCCCATCCAAGTATTACAAGGTTTTTGGTGATCGAGATATGAGAGGATTCAGGGAGAAAACCATCATGGCCATCATTCTCATTATTGCTGAGGCATTTGTAAGTTCTACTGCATAACTAGTGTAACTTTAATTAAAAGATCTCAATGCCCTATAAACAAGAAATCAAAAAAAAATATAAAACTACACTTGACCAGGTTGAGTCTGTATTGAGAGTTTACTGTTTCACATTGACATGTACAAGTGAAAATCTCAAGTTAATAAAAAGTGTTGGTTTGAATCAAGTACACTGTACATGTTTTTTTTTTTTTTTTTTTAGATAAAAGCTTCCACTGTTTATCTTGCTTCCGTTCTGTACATAAAATGGAGAGGTTGTATTAATGCCAAAATCCACAAGCTGTATTTCACAGATCTCGTCTATTACAACATCAATATGGCAGGGAAAATCGATAATCCGTATGTATTATAGAAATATGAATAACTGTAAAACGAGAATATTTGGCGCACTACTAATTTTAGTGCCTTTGGCGCAAGAGTCTCTGAATGCTAAAATTTATTGTGCGCTTACAGATTTCAATATTATTTTGTGTGTGTGTGTTCAAAGCTTTATGAGTACATGTAAACCAAAACGCGCGATTAAATGTAGAAGGGACAATGGATTTCATATACACACTAGCACTGTACATGGTAGATTCGATCGAGAAAGTTCTGCCAAATTATAATTTATTAAACTATAATTGTTACCCTGGTAGTTTTTACCCAGCCGATTCTTATCATTATATAGCACGATTCTTATCATTATATAGCACCTTCAAAGGTTGGCTTCTTGATGTGTCGATCATCTATTGCCTCGAGGTAAACAATGCAATCAAGCATGGCAATTGAGCTTGCAGACAATACCTGATCATAATAACGTTACCGTTTATCCAAGTAACTTTCTTTCGATACATGTATTGTTTTGATATGAAAAAAATGCATAAATACTCCACTTCTTTTATTTAAAATAAAAATTATAATAAATTTTAACATTGTGCCACGTCCATGTGATTGCAACACCACAGTTAAGTTGACGAATGGTTACTTAATGGGGCCCGGAGTACTATAATTGTGTTTCCGTGCTTGACTAACCAAAAAGTCAAATACGGGTGGGGATAAAAAAAACAAAATATCACATTTATATATTTCAATGACAAGTGCAAGCGCTAAATTTTATTTGCGCCAATGTATTCCTACTGGCATATGCGCTAAAATACATATGCGCCAAATTCTCTCATTTTACAGTAAGTAAAGTATGCCATTGCATACAAACTTAATGTGATCATTTTTTAAATTTGAGGCTTGGAAATTTTAAATCTAGAACAATTTATTTGTACTTTAATTGGGAACAGGAATTGCATCCCCCCACCTAAGTTCCACCATAATTGTATTTTTTTATCTATAGGGATCAGCGAATCACGCAGGACTTGGACCGGATGTGTGATAACTTCAGTCAGATCTTCGCTCCCATCATCATCGCTCCCTTCACCATCGCTTACTACCTGTATAAAAGTGTAGAAAGGTCAGTACATGGAATACTAAATACAGGGAAATTTTTGCCCCAGTTTTATTTTTGCCACTTTTGCCCTAACCTTGTTTGGGAGAATTTAAAAGGGGTGGATTAAAAATATACAGTCTAATTTCTTAAACAAAACTGTGACTGAGTGAATTAAAAACAGGGCAAAATTGTTTGCATATGTGAAAGGGCAAAATTATAGGGGGGCAAAATAACCGTGTATGTAGTATTACCTGTACAAAAGTGTAGAAAGGTAAGTGGTAAAGTCAGGGACCTTTATACTAACGGGATAGGCAACTAACGCAAGTCTTGCGATATCTCGTAAGTCGCGGGATTTCTTAAGTCAACTTTTATTAATTATATCTCTAGAGCTATCACACATTTGAGATCAAATCCTTTAAACATCTGTCAAAAAATCATTCAAGATTTGTTTTAAATATGCATTATACTCTTTATCTCGGTAATAATTTTGTTTTATGCAAAATCAGCACATGCCCCGATCCGCCATATTTCCGAGAAATCGCCGATTTCAATGTTTGTTTTCATTATATTAAAATTATAATATTATTATGCTTTAAAATTTATTAATAAATCAATTCCAATACATAAAAGGAATAAATGATAATAATCAGAAAACACCCTGTTTACTGGGAATAAACGTAAATTGAAAAACTTGTTGTGTCGTGCGTGATGTTTTGGGTAAATAAACATGGCGATGAAGGAGTACTGCCTATCCCTTTAATATATAGGTCCCTGGTAAAGTGAAGTCAAGTCTATTTGCTACCAAGCTTAAGATTAAACCTCAAGTCAAAATTTTTAGAGTGCGTTGGATGACAGATGGCCCGGCCTGTAATTAAAATTATTAATCTATTGTGACCATAATCAAAGAGTTGATGCATCAACAGGGCTCGAGCTGTGATTCGCCATTGTCGCCAATTGCGAATTTTTTTATAAGTGGCGAAAAGAAATTCATAAGTGGCGAAAATGATTTTTTTTAGATGTACCATGTACACAAATTGTGTAGTCCTGGTTAGCTCCTTTGTTTATTCAATGTATACAGATGTACAGATAACTCCCATTGTTTATTTAATTCAGCAGAGGTGTGAAAATTGAAACCTACATGTAGGAAATCATGTCTCGCTTGAACGAACACAGCTGACTAGGTAACTAGCCTGGAGCAATAAAGGGTTACAAAATTGCTTGAAATATTGAAAGTGTTATTAGGAGATGAAGTTAGTAAATAAAAAAACATTTATCAAAAAATCTGGATCTATGGAGATCATTTTTTTTAAAACCGAAAGTAGGGAAACATGACGAAAATTGTAAACAATGGCTTCAAATTTTACCTAATGAATATTGAAAAATGTGTACAATATACCATAAACTGACAAATAGTGAAAAAGAAATTGGTTTGGAAACAGAATTATCTTAATAAATTACACTGAATTATTTACAATTACATGAGCTTGCATATTATACCCTGGAGTCTAGAGTCAAAGTTGTTAAAATAAAGTCAAGTTTTAAATCTAATTCTCATTACTTTTTAATTACTTCTTTTCCCAATTAATTAATGAAATTATGAAAATTTACATTTTTTAAAAAATGTCATATATTTTTACTACGTCTGTAGCCCCCCCCCCCCCCTTCCCCCTTCCCAGGCAAACAATAAATTATAAACAAGAGGACATTTTCTGTCAAGAGTTGGCTGATATCAATTCAATATCAAATTTAATTGTATAATTCCAACTTTATTTATTTTTTTTTTAAATGGACTCTACCATAAGCTTTAAACATAACAATTTAAAACAATATCTATGATAAACATAATAAAAAAAGGAATAACATAAAGCGCATTGCATTGTTGAGAAATCAGATGTAATAATGCCTTTCCTTTTGTCGCGATAAGTGGCGAAAAATATTTTCGGTCCAGTGGGAGCCCTGTGCATCAATTAATTCATGTGAACACATTGATATACATCTATCCCTCCTTTTCCTGTTGCAGCACAAGTTATCTGGGCCCTGTTGGGGTCCTCTCGTTCTTCATTGTTGCCACAGTGATTAACAAGCTTCTTATGTCACCAGTTGTACAGTACGTGTTCAGAAGAGAGAAAATGGAAGGAAATTACAGGTAATTATGAATGCACTCCTCTTCTTTAAAACTTAGTGTGATCTGGTAAAGTATAGGTGGAGAGACATGGTTTCTAAATATGAAAAGTGTTTTTCCTTTATGAACCTTCTGCATTGAAAATTCAGCAATTGATTTAATAATATGTATGAAAATTTATCCCAAGTTTACCCCTTTATCCCGTGGATATAGCTCATGTGATATCCTTTTCCCTATCCCACAGCTAAGTGCAGTTATGACCTCACAATGGTTTTTGCTCTAGCGCGATGAATTAAAATAAAGTGGAGTCCTATATAAAAACGATCACAACTCGTTGGATAGTAATCATATCCACCTACAAATCATGGGAGATAAACCAGTACATTGATGGAGAAATAAAGTACATTAACTTTTTGTAAATTTTTCTCGAACAAAGACCTTGGAAATGTAAATATTCAGATTTAAGCATAATGCTCCACCCTCTGTATATGTTTCAGATTTAAGCACATGTTGCTGCGGGCTAATGCTGAGTCTGCAGCATTTTATAGATCAGGAGAAATAGAGAAATTCTACACAGACCAGAGACTCCACAAACTACTCAAGACTCAACATCATCTGATACTACGCCAGTACGCACTCAACTGTGAGTATATCTACATGATCCTTCTAACAGTATACCAGAAAAATAATTTTTAAAAAATGGGTTAACACTAAGGATTATTTTGTTTTGTTTCAGTATTTACTGTTATGCATTTATCATGCATCGGGTGTAGTTATTTAGTGCTCTCTTAATTGATTTTGTAATCTTCCTGTTGTAGTTTCGGTGAATTTATTCGATTACCTCGGTAGCATACTGAGTTATATTCTTCTTGCCTTCCCCATTTTCCATGGCGATTACGACAACAAATCACCAGCTGATTTTTCTTCTCTCATAAGTGCTGTAAGTACACTTTTTTCCTCATAATCACTATAAATTTTTTGCCAAGAATTGCTGTACATTCAAATTTTCATAGACTTTATTTGAGTAGTATTAACAGTAGTAGTGCCATTTTGATTTTAAAATTGCAGTGATTTGTACATTTACAAGAAATCTGAGTAGGGATGTCAAATCGGTCAATTTTTAATACTCGGTTACTCGGACGTTTTTCCGATCGAGTACCCGGGTACTCGATAAAAGTGTAAATAAATATGAACAAGTAAATTGATGAATTTAAAACATTGTAAACTCTTTTAGAGATAAAAGCACATGCTCTGATAGGAGGTTTACCCGTAAATGCATTTCAGTTGTAACAATGATAAGCACTTCGTGCCCGAGGAAATTTAATAATTTTTTTTTTTAATTTATTTATCAGATAAACACAAGAAATAATATCGAAAGTGGTTCACTGTGTTTTTGTTAAAAAAAAAAATCTACTCCGTAATTGTAATGTAACTCTTTGTTGCGTTTGACGTCCAGGTATCAGTCGTACAGTTTGACTTGAACTTAGTCAAGTTTTAACAGAGCGGATTTACGATTTTCGTATACTTTTCGATCCTAGATTTTATAGTATTACGGGACGGTATTTTGTAGTTTAGTGCAACGATGGACATCAGTTTTTTTTAAAGCCTTCGCCATCAACCGTTTGTACATGAATTGACATGTAATCAAACACAATCATATCAACAATCGCGCGTGTAATATCATCTGTCTCTTTTCCCGAGAATTAACGGCTTCTCGGAGAATTGACAAAATTATCTTATTTATTCAATCATAACAGACCTTAAACGATGTTCAGTGAAAACAAATAATTAAAGGAAATTCAAAAAATAAGGGTAGAAGACAGGTGAGAAAAACCAGGTAACAGGTGCTTGGTCACCATAATTACTGTATAAACACTGCCACGAGCGATAACGGTCATTTAGAGGAGTAGGAAACCCTAATTAGTGTATGTACAAGTGCAATGAGTATTTTCCGTTTTAAAACAGATTGTTTAATGCATTAATAAATAAGCTTAGAAATATTCAAAAATATAGATCCGAGTAACAGAGTACCGATTTTAGTATTCGATACTCGGACGTTCGATCGAGTACCCGGTTAACCGGGTACTCGTTGACATCCCTAAATCTGAGGTATAAAAATTTTATTTTTTGTAGAATTCGTTTGTGATAATGTACCTCATCAACTGTTTTACTCGCCTAATTGACCTGTCAGTCAAAGCAGCAGAGGTAGCAGGGAACGCCCACAGGTAAGGAAGCATTATGGAAGCTTGGGCCATGTTATGTACCAGGCCCACAAACAAATTATGATTTGGCATTAAATGCTTTTTTGTTTCAAAAAAAAATAATATGCAGCCATGCTAAAATTTTTTTTAAAAATCCAATTTTCTAATGTTTTTATAATGTGCTGAAAATTTTAAACCTATATGAATATTTTTTGAGGGTTGGAGAATTGATTGAAGAGTTACAGAGAGTCAGAGACAAGCAGGGGACACTGAACTATGTCAGAAAGAATCAACCCCCAAATTTACCTTCCAGGTACATCTAGTGATTTACACAAACAATCTGCCTTACTCTATAACTTACTGAAGCCAAAAAAAGAGTGTTTTAAAGAAATATTGAAATGTATAAAGGGAGACAAAAATATAATGAGTAGGGATGTCAAATCGGTCAATTTTTGATAATAGGTTACTCGGACATTTTTCCGATCGAGTCCCCGGGTATTCGGTAAAATCACAGGTGCTTGAGGACTGGACACCCCCCACCCCCACCCCACCCAACCCAAATATAGACCCTTAAGCTTGGGCTTGTTAGACTTTTTTCACATAAATTATATATGGATGACACATTTGTGATATAATATATCAAATCAATTCAGAAAATTTGCTTAAACTAACATTTTATAAAAATTTCTACCCCACACTCTAATTAGCAAGGTTGCCAACTTCGTCTGCAAACCGAGAGGCACTGCCGAGAATTTTGGTTGAATCGTCTCATAAATCTAAACAAAGCCCTAAAATCAACAAATCACATTGTAGATTGAATATTCTTTTCATTAACAACCAACTCTCATGAAGGGTAAGGCACTTCAACAGTCGTTATAGCCAGTTTTCCACAAGGATGTCAGGTTACAGGCAGCGTTTTCGCTTAATGAATGGAATTGACAAGAAGACTACTTTTTTTCAGAAATACACAGTTCTGCAGAAAGAAATTTGGTTGATATACACTTTAAAAAATGTCTTTCAAATGTTTTGAAAGAATAGAGTTCTAAACCGCTGATGTAAATGAAATGTTTCTAATTATTTTTCAAATACTTGATTTGCATGTAATCTGTTTTGAGAGTTTTGCCCTTTTAAAAATGCAGTTTTTTGAAATATGTTCTTTTCCTTAAATATTTCATGTAAAATCTACAAAACGTTTCAAAATAAAATTTTGATGAAGAATTTGTATAAAAAACAAGAATATATCTATTGTTGATATTTTACATGCATATTTGGTTATATGGGGAACATGGGTAATTAGTCCTCTCCTCATTACTTCCGTTCAATAAGCTTTTTACGGAGTTAACAACCTTGTTGATTTTTATATGAAGGATGTAGGGTGGAATTTATAAACTGTTTGTTTTAGGTAATTTTTTTAATTGTTGGTATATATCTTATCACAAACATGTCAATGAAAGATTATTTATGAGAAAAAAAAGTCGAAAAAGCCTAGGGGTCTATATCAAAGGGGGGGGGGTCCTGTCCTCAGACACCTGTGGGTTAAGTTGTAAAAATATGTACAAGTCTGTTAGTTTTCTTAAACTCAGTTAATCTGTGTTTTACCTCAATGTTGTTTTTATTACGTTTTTGTGCATGTTGAAAATATCAAGTCCAACAAAAATGGTCTATAGTGCTTAATTTGTTTATTTGGAAAAAAAACCACACCTTTGAAAGACATCAAATTGATACACCAATAATTACAAATGATATACATTTTTTGTTTGGGAAGACCTTTGAAACAATGTGCTACACATCTTTGCAATGATCACACTGGCGAAGCAGAAGGAATGGACATTGTGGGGATCACTTGTCGTATATTATTATTATATTCCATGTATACGCTAAAGGATGAGGTGACATGACTGCTATCTGGGGCCCCTTTTTCCACGACGAATTATATTTAATCTACAACGATGTTGTTAGTTTTCAAACATGAGTGAATAAATACGACGCCTTTGAATAGTTTCAATAGTTCAGGCGTATTTTGATTATAAGGAATATTGCATTACCTTTCATTTTTTAGACCCTATCACAACTAAATTCGTTCAGGTTTGTGAGGATATTTTCTTTTATGGCAAAAGAATGGGCGGGTCTTAGTACAATAGAGGGATATGCATATTCGAGAAGACCTTATATGGCTATTGTTATTATTACGCACATCGTCGTTGTCCAATCCGATGACAGAACAACAAAACATGCTGGTTTACTTCGTTTACATTTTATCAGAGATATGTGGTTTAGGTCAATTTTCCTGTTATCCTTTTAAACATTTCAAACTTTTATAATGGTCAGTCAAGGCTGTTTATACTTGATAATACGCATGGATTATCACCATTTAGGGCTTTTAGGACAAGAAATGCACATAAAACTTGTATTCACTGATTCTCGGGAATACGCGTAGACCTAGCCAATTGCTCACCAAACACGCTACAAAACTTTAAACTAATGTATATTTATCAATTGTTTGTAACTGTATATAAATTTTACTGTGATCTCGGAAATTGTACATACAGTCTGTATGTAGATCCGTGTCTAATCTGTGACTCAAATACATAAAAAAATATCGGAAAGCAGTAAAATTCCAAGCATGTTTCCATAGTATTTTTGTGGTACTCACTCGTAACGAATTTCATTTAGCTGATTGGTCAGTTAGAAAGTATCGCCAATGCCTCGATTAGCATGTGAATTCATTCTTACGTCAGAAAAATCTAGTTCCGTCGATCTGTTCATAATGGGAAAGGCCAGCTAGATTTTACAATTTTTTGAAAAATAGCATGTGAGCGCAGTTAAGTACAATTTTCTCCTTTCACATATAGGTAGATTTCAATAAAATACAGTGACCAGCCAAAGGAGAAAATTTTACCTACATGCGCTCTTATATTTTGAGGGCTTCAAAGGGTGGGGCGGGGTTAAAATGCATTGGAATTGGATGTAAACATGATACCCGAACCCCAATAAAAGATCTATATCTTTCAAATCACATTTCTATTGCTGATAAAAATAGTATTCTATAAAGGTACACATATCAGTGATTAGTTATATACAAAAATTTGAGTAAAATTTAGACATTTAATTTTTTGTCAATATACCAGGGGCCGCAAGTCACCTCATCCTTTACTCCGCATAGCTGGGTTTTTATGCGCCCGGATTGATAGATCCCAGCGTATATTGTTTTTGTCCTGTCTGTTTGTCTGTTTATCTGTTTGTCTTTCTGTCTGTTGTCAACTTTAACCTTTGCCATAACTTTTGAACCATAAGAGATAGAGACTTCATATGTCTTCATATGGTATGCCATACTCCACTAATAAAGTCCTTTCAAATGACATCAAGGTCAATGACCTTGTGACCTTGACTGACCTATATGCTAAAAATAGCTTTTTCCACTGTTTGTCATAACTTTTGAACCATAGGTGATAGGGACTTCATATTTGGTGTGCATACTCCACCCATTAAGTTCTTTCGAATGACACCAAGGTCAATGACCTTGTGACCTTGACTGTGACCTATATGCTAAAAATAGCTTTTTCCACTGTTTGTAATAACTTTTGAACCATAGGAGATAGGGACTGCATATTTGGTATACTTACTCCACTAATAAAGTCCTTTCAAACGTCGACAAGGTCAATGATCTTGTGACCTTGTCTGTGACCTATATGCTAAAAATAGCTTTTTACACTTTTTGCCATAATTTTGAACAATAGGAGATAGGGACTTCATATTTAGTGTGCATACTCCACCCATTAAGTTCTTTCAAATGACACCAAGGTCAATGACCTTGTGACCTTGACTGTGACCAATATGCTAAAAATAGATTTTTTGAACTTTGTATAGTGTTTCACAAACACATCTTGTTTCAATCTTCAATTACATGTATTACTACAGTATTTCTTTACATTTTTAAGTCGGTTGCAGCATACCTATGCATGTCGGATTTCAGTACCATTGACTAAATAAATTAAAAATGATTTAAAGAGAACAGAACAAACTAAAACGATTCTTGAGCAAGGAAAACGAATCATTGAAGCCATCCAAAAATTAAGGACAGCGTAAGATGAGAAAAGCAGGCAATTGGTCACTAATTACTGTTTAAGGTATTCAATCCCTAATAGGAACAAATTCAATGAAAATGAATACATAACAGATATGCAGACATTGAATACTCAGTTTAATTAGACATACTTCCCATTTATTACTATAAGAATGTAAAAAGGGATGTGTCCTAATTTTTGACCTTGAATTTTGGTGAGAGTTATCTCCCCTTTTTTAATTAATTTAAGAAAATTCAATTAAAAAGTTTTTAGCCGGTAAAAAAAATGTTTTCAATTGTCATTCTATTTTTAATGTTTAGATGTATCTTTCCACCACAGGATTCATTGATATTCAAAGTATTTGAATTTTTATTATGAAAAAAAACGCTTTTCCCCATATACTTTAATGCAATCTTTGATAATTAATTACTGCTTAATGAATGAAATTTTTGAAATTTCTCGCGGTCAATTCTTTTCCACTATAAAATACTTTGATATAATATCAGAGTATTATGTACTTGATGGACATTTAAGGGTAGGGAATTTGGTCCCATTAGGGATGGAAATCCTTAATTATATACAATGAACAGCCACAGGCGATAATAGGTGTTTTAAAGGTGTAGGCGACGGCAATACGAGGGTTGATCCAAAAGTTTGTGGAATTTCTGTATATTTTATTTATTTTTTAGGGAAAATGGTTGAAAATTACAAATGAGAATATAGTCACTTGTTGAATATTTAATAAATAAAAAACCAATTTAAATATCTATGATTTAGTAACTCTATTGCAGTTGCCATAGAAACAGTTGTTTGGAAATGCAGGAGAGACATTATTGCATTTATTATCATTCAAAGTCTTAATACGTGTAATAAGAATAGAACCGCCCTATGTGGCATATAAAATGGAAATTATGTCATTATTGTGATTGCTTGATCTTTTATAAACCTTTGTATGAGAGTATTACTGATTTTACTGGATATTTACTTTATTAGTTGGTGATTTGTTGTTCATCTTTGAGTTGTGAATCAACGTCAAATTTCAGTCAAGTTATAAGTTTTGTGAAAATTCCAGTTTCACTTTATCTTAAACGCGTGTATAATTGACATATGCTAGGGAAAATGCATTTAGTTACTGCATGGTTTTCCGGTGGCACAAGAAATGTAAGAAAAGTAAAACTTCCATGGACGTTGATTAAAGGTGTGGTCAATGACCTACAATGAAAATTGTAATTAACTACAGTCAATTACCATTACACATTACCATTACCCCATCCCTGGTGGTCATAAATATGCCTGTTGTTTGCTTTCATCAAATCACGATAAAATTTTGGATAGAAAATCCACAAACTTTTGGATCAACCCTCTTATAACTGTTTCAGGTGACATATAACTATATCCCACAAGATTCAGCAGTTTTTCAGGGCATATGGATAAAAATATTATATTTGTGATATAATGGGAAAACTTCTTCAAAAATGTTATATTTTTGAATTGGCACCTGCTCTGAAAAAATCAGCGGGGGATATTTGTCGTAATTGGATAGTTCTAGTTTGTAGTGCAGAGCCTCACAGTAAGGTTTGTAGTCCCATAATCAAACTGTTAAATTCAGGACTACTTTAATTCACGAAACTTTAATTTTGAGGAATTACTGAGTATACCTTAGAGATACTGCATTTGGTAATTAACCTAAACAGACAATAGTTAAAGCAGGATATTTTCAACATCATTTCTTATATCTGTAGCAATCAAATGAAAAGAAATAAAATGTCATTCGTAATTTAATGTGAAGAGAAATCATAATTATTGGCATATTAAATACGGTATATTTTAGGCACTGTTTCACTGCAAATATCTTATTTTCTTTACTTGTCTTTCATAATATTGAGCAACAAACAGATTGTCATTTGTATCTATACACAGTCCCCAGGGATCACTCAGTCTACAGTTTATGTAACGGAGGAACTGTCCATCCTGGTCTATGATGTGGACACACTCATTGTCACAATCAGCTGTAAGGATGTGACTCTGACTGTCTGTGGTGATTCCTAGTAGATAGAATGGTTTGTTTTTTGGAGCAGGAGTATGTCCAGTGTACCTAAATCTCAGTTTTCCGGCCTGATTGACCACCACTACTGCTTTAGCATCCCAGTCAGACACACAGATATCCAGGTTCCTGTTCTCTGTTATGTATTTGTAAGTAGGACTAGATGAATAGAGAGGTTTATGTTTACTTTTATCATCAAACTGAATGGTTTGTTTTTCTGTGGAGCCAGAGTAACGGACAACTTTTGTTTGTTTGTCATCATCACTGTACATGATAACCAGGAGGTCACCAGAGGAGGTACTACAGACACCGCGAGGTCTCCAGTTCTGTAGTCTGATCACTTCCTCTATCTTCTCATTCTTCACAATGTTCACAGTTCTATCTCTGTTATCAGTATAAACTAGATCTCCACTTTTTGTCACTGCTATGTCCCATGATATGTTCCCAGACTTGGTTGTGATTGACTTGAGTAGTGATTTCTGATTGATGCTGTAAAGTTTCATGGCCTTGTCTTCTCCACTTGTCCAGATTTCTTCTTCACTCAGACAGGCCACATTGTAAAGGTATCTATCATACCCAGTGTACATGGTGGTGACAGTCTCTGGTTCATCAAGCAGCTGTTTGACTGGAGGAGAGGATCCAGCTTCTGGTGATATCTGTGTTGTCTTCATGCTGTAGCCATGTTTGTCTGATGATAAAGAACTTGGTGATAAGGTACCAAACAGTTTACTTATCTCTTGAATTTTGCCAGATGTGAATTTTGGTAAAGATAGCACAATTTTTTGTGGAAGATTTCTGTATTTATCTACATTGCATGTTATACTGAAGAGGTTTAACAAGTCATTTGTATCTATAGTTTTTTCTATTGAATCATTTTCATCCTTGATGTCAGACATTGTCTTGTTTATTTCATCCAGATGTTTCTGTAGAGTTTGTAACTGTGTGTTTTTCATCTCATCAACTTCAGCTTTAAGTTTCCTGACAAGTTTGTCAATTTCTCTGTGCCAGTCCTCTCCATGTTTTGTTATGGCTGTTGAGAGATCTCTATATTCCTTTTCTAACTGACTCATTCTGTTTTGTACAGCAGAGGCAATGTCCTGGTAGGTTGGATAAATGGTCTCATTTAATTCGTTTCTCTCTTTGAATATCTTTTCTTTCTTTTCCTCACAAACCTGCATTAATGATAATATTTTATGACCTTGATGTTGATCAGATGTAATGCAGTAAACACAGACAGGAATGTCACATTGATTACAGTACATTTCACATCGTTCTTTGCTATGATGTTTACATCCAGGGTAGAGGGGGGTAGATTTTCTAAGCTTGAATGAGACAATTTCATGTTTCTTGGATTCATCAGAAATTGTGTGTTCTCCAACACAGGCCTTACACAGGTTGACAAGACATGTATCACAGTGCATCTGTACCACAGCGGTCTTACACAGGTCACATCGCATCACGTCCTGGGCACTGGTACGGGGGTCCATGTTCAAAGTAGGCCTAGTATAGAAAATGTTCTTATAGATAGCACTTAAATAAAAGTAATATAATCAAATGATAAGATGTTTATTTCACTTCAAAATCATTTGTTAATGAATTGTAAAATTGTGACCACCCCTAAAATTAATTCTGTTCAAATGAGTTCAGCAAGTGAAAAGAAAAATTGCATCATATGGCTGCACCTTAACAATTGCAAGAATGCAGATTAAATTCAAATATTTCTTTCAATTGCATTTTCATTCCATTATAACATTTTAAGATGAAATCATGGGCTATCTGTGTGAGACAGATGTGAAAAAATCCTAGTATTGATAATTTTTTTATAATAAAGAATTTGTTACGAGTAAGCAACATTTATCAAATTAAAAATCAGTCTATTATTATTACCTGATTTTAATGGTGCCTGTCTTGTCGGCCAAATACTGTACAAGTATCACATGACCCAGTTACCTGTGTTATCTACCTGTCAGGTATTTAACTTCCTGGTCTACGTGTACTGTGGAGATTTAAATTGAGGTTCATCATTCCTATGCTCAATCATGCAAAAAATTTTGCACAATGCTTATGTTATGCAAATTGAATCTAATTTTAATATAATGATTAAAATGCACACAATTCCAGCATACCTTGCAGGGCAAAATTTAACACAATTGACATGTTAATGTGATGGTTTTACATGTTTAAAGGAATAAAAGTAATTTATACCAGTTAGAGTTATCTCTCTTATCAGAGTATCAATGAACCTTAACAATCCTTTTCAGCTCATTTGAGCTAATGACTTAAAATTGATCCACTGTTATTATGATTTTTGCTGTTGCTGTTGTTATTGGCGTCCTTTTCAATTTTCATCTTCTTATCCAGAAACACTAGGCCTGCAATTTCAACCAAATTAACTTGCAAACTGAGCATCCTTGGGTAATGGGGAATCAAAGAACAAGTGCACCTAAATAAAAGAGAGTGGACCTTTTTCAGAATTTTTTTAAATGGTTTAGATATCAATTGATGATATAGGCTGAGAAGTGATACTTTATGTATTTTAAATCTTTATTCTTTCACATTTTACTAGGGTCCATTAAGAGTTACTTGTTCTTTATTCAAATAAGGACAACTTAATTAATATACCCTCTTTCAAAGGTAGATGAGAAAATTAAGAATAAATGAAAATATTGTTCTAACAAACAGCAAAGCTATAAAATCACAGTATAGTACATATATACGTATAGTGCAAGAAAGAAATGACTTGTCATTTTTAGATTTGTCTCTCTTGAGAGTGGTATTTTTCTATTTTAAATGAGGCCAGATAGCAGTGATTATACTTTTTCTACTTTTGACAAAGAATAATAAATTTTTTTTTTTTTTTAATTTTGGTATTAATCATTTTAAACATGTTAAATGTTTCAAATATTACCGTAAGTGTGACAAGTAAAATAAGTAAGTTTTAAGATGATATTTATATGAATTGAATACCAACAAGCATTGTTAAATTAGGTGTTCCTCTTTCTTTTCTGTGAGGCATTAGACTTTTTACTGTGTCTATTTTAGTGATCAAGTTGAATTAACAGATCTCAATATTAACAGCCATGTAGACCAGAGAGCCATATCTGTCACAGAGCTAACGTACGCTCCACCGAAATCCAGCGACATTCTCTGTAAAAGTAAGTCTACCAACCCAGGATAAAGTTGTGAGTATCACAGTCATCCATAGAGAACAATTTTAGCTAGATTTTCACACTGCATGCATTATGATGACAAAGTACCTGTCAGACCACAGAATCATGAAGCATATTAAATTTAAGATAAAAAATGTATATGATGCTGAAGTTATTTAGGAGTAAAGCATTCTAAAATGAAAATGAGTTTCCATTTTGCATTATCAATCTGCTGTCAAAAACAAATAAAGGTTTTCATTTATAAAAAGTTCTAACATTGAAATTAAGTCTGTTTCATGATCCCTGGTACAGTGTATTAGATAATTTCTGTGAATGACAGGGTCCGACACTCGTCAAAATTTGGTCTCGCCATTCGGGCAACCTTGGTATGATCACAGGTTGCCCAAATGAATTTCAGGTCGTCCAAATAAAATATCAATTAAAACAAAACTTAATGTGCAATTGTTTATAATTTGTTAAGATAATTAATAGAAGTTGTGTTTTTGCATTAAAAAATGTAAACCAGACATTTTTGGAATTTAAAGATGCCTTATAGTGTTTTATCAAACAAAAATATCAGCAGAATCAGACATGCAGAATGCTAAAGTTTGTAGCTTAAAACATTCATTTTCACTTGCCATGAAGGCCTAAATATAGGGTCAAATAACCCTGGACTGAATTAATCAGGTGTTACATTACAGTGGACACCCAAATTGGCTGTGTAGCAGCAGAAAATGATCATTATGAATGATCAGAAAGTTGTAGGGGAAATGCAAGATGTTACAATGATGATTATTACTATCTATATTAATAAGGTGATTTGACTAAGTTGGCATCTTTTATATCTCAAATAATACTTTATTAAAGACTTTTAGTAAAAATTGCATCAGCGGATTGATCGAACGAAGATTTGGCAGGAGAAAAAATCTTCGCGGCTGCAATTTAAACATGTTGAATGGGTTGGTTTTGTTACAGGAAAATATGTTTTCAAGGTCTTATGAAGTTTAGTTTTAAAATATTAAACATCATTATGAAATATTCCCAACTTGTCCCAGGTCGTCATTTGGGCGAGCCAGACTGAAAATCAGGTCGTCCGAAGTCATTTTAGGGTGGAAATGGCGAGGTGACGAGCGCGAATGTCGAACCCTGGAATGAACAAGTTTTGATGATTTTTACCATTACCATAAACTAAAACTGTAAAAGAAATATGGTTATGCCTGTGGTTAATTGCCAATGGAATTAAAATTTTTAAAAAAATACCTTAGACTTTAACTCTAAGGAAAGGAGTGAGAATTAGGCTTGGAGATGGGATAATGGAAAGGTTTTAACCTTAACAATGCCAATGCTTTCTTTCAAGTGTAAGATTGCAAAATTTTGTATCACAGAAATTATCTGCTATTCATTGAAGCAAAACTGCAATGATTATGCAACATGTATTTGGAATTGTGGCTAGTTATGCATGATAAAAACATCAATGTATATATATCAATTCTGCTTTTAGAAACCTTTTAAAAACATCACACAATTTTAGAATTAAAAAAAAGCCTAGTTGAGCTTTCAGTTCAGGTAAGGTAGAAAGAAATCCGAATTAAGATAGCAAATGGTATCAAAATGGAAAGACATTATTTTAAAAAAGTAGAATATATGGCTTTGTTACCATATTTATCTATGGCTATCAGTACTACTACACTCTTTTACTTTATTTGCATGAACACAAGAAAATAAGTCCTTGATGAAAGTTTTTTTTAGATTTTATGATTGCCCAGATTCTTACAAAATGCATCTAGGAAAGGATAAATTATTTAATCACTTGTTTGACAGATTTAACATTCCAGTTAGAGGCTGGAGTAAATATCCTCATCACGGGGGATTCGGGGTGTGGCAAGAGTTCTCTTCTGAGGGTCATAGCAGGACTCTGGCCCTCACAGAAAGGTAAGCGTAACGAAGGGCAGTCATAGAAAGGAGTAATGGTCAACAGAGATCATCTGCCAACACTGTCCATATGTATCAAGAACACTGAATTTTCGCAACACCTTATGGGTTCGTAAGGTAGTCATTTTAAAAATCTTGAACAAGATAAAATTTTCTTGAATTGTAGTTTTGTTCAATAAAATTAAATGGCATACTAACATATGTGAGAATGAAATTTTTCTTGAGAACACTGACTTGTGTAATCAGGCGAAAATAAAGTACTGGCAAATAAAAAGTAATTCACAATACATGTATTAAGAACACATGACACACTAGTGTTTCTTTTTATTTTCTTTTTTACCTTAAATTATTTTATCTTATTTTTTTCCTTCAGGAAGTGTGAAATTTCATGAAACTTTAAATCCCAGTCAGATTTTATTTCTACCTCAAAAACCGTATTTCACAGATGGTACTCTCAAACAGCAGGTGAGGCATTAAATTGTCTTAATAAACTTTGATTGTTTTTTTTTTCTTTAATGTAGACTTAAGGAGATTTTAGATTTCTAACTGTTTACAAATAATTTTTTTTAAATAAATAAATATTGAAATGTGCATTATGAATGCTTACAGGTTATTTATCCATTGAAAGAAACAGACTATGGATCAGGTTAGAGCTATTAATGATAACATTTTACAGCAGAAAAATATATTAATGAAGGGTGTGCACAGAATAAACAGAATCCTTGTAGTTACTTGGTTATAAATCTATGATTATGATATTCATGGTAATTTCCTAGTAGATAAATCAACTTGATTTTTTATGATAATATTTGTAATTTATGTTTCAGTTTCTCTAGATGATGAGTCAATCAACCAGTACATGGAGATTACAGGACTACAGAAACTCACAGAAAGAAAACTTGGACTAGAAAGCTACTCATCACATGATTGGTGGGTTATACTATGTAGACAATCAATGATTGTTGGGCTTAGTATGTAGACCTTCAATTATTAGTGGGTAATAGTATGTAGACCTTCAATGATTAATGTGTTATAGTATGTAGACCTTCTAATGATTGGTTGGTTAGATGATGTAAATCATCAATGATTGGTTGGTTTATAGCATATAGCATGTAGACCTTCAATGATTGGTTGGTTATAGTATGTAGTCTTCAATGATTGGTGAATTTAAAGGATTGGTTAGTGAAAGGAATTGATTTTTGTTTCAACTTCCTTTACTAGCTAAAGTTCCATAATAATGTGTTGATGTAGACTATTAAATGTCCATTTGTTTGCGTGGATAAACATTTTAATTAATGAAATGATCTTTTTTGACAATCATATCGGTACATATCTTTATACGAGTGTTTATTTTCTGTAATAATCTAGGTATCAGGAACTATCCCCTGGAGAGATGCAGAGATTGTCCTTTGTCAGACTCTTCTTCCATCAACCTAAGTTTGCAGGTCAGTGTATTTTAAATCTTAGCTCACCTGAACTTAGTGTCCAATTATATGCCCTTTGCACAAAGTTTATCCTCTCCATTGTTAAGTTTATTGCCTCTTACACTTTTATAGCATTCTACTCTTTTAACTAAATCTAGAACAAGGCATTCTCTAGAATATTCTATTTAAGGAAATAAAATCTATGTATATAAACTATATGTTCTGTACTTTAGTATTTTTAGTAACAGGTCAGGTTCTAACTAAACTCTTCTTTTATGTATAGTTCTGGATGAGGCTGGTTCTAAGTAAACTCTTGTTTTATTTATAGTTCTGGATGAGCTGGTTCTAACTTAACTCTTGTTTTATTTATAGTTCTGGATGAGGCTGGTTCTAACTAAACTCTTGTTTTATTTATAGTTCTGGATGAGCTGGTTCTAACTAAACTCTTGTTTAATATATAGTTCTGGATGAGCGGGTTCTAATTAAACTCTTGCTTTATTTATAGTTCTGGATGAGGCTGGTTCTAACTAAACTCTTGCTTTATTTATAGTTCTGGATGAGCTGGTTCTAAGTAAACTCTTGTTTTATGTATAGTTCTGGATGAGGCTGGTTCTAACTAAACTCTTATTTTATTTATAGTTCTGGATGAGCTGGTTCTAACTAAGCTCTTGTTTTATTCATAGTTCTGGATGAGGCTGGTTCTAACTAAACTCTTATTTTATTTTTAGTTCTGGATGAGGCTGGTTCTAACTAAATTCTTGTTTTATTTATAGTGCTGGATGAGGCTGGTTCTAACTAAACTCTTGTTTTATTCATAGTAACAGGTTGTGTTCTAACTACACTCTTGTTTTATTTATAGTTCTGGATGAGGCGACAAGTCAGATCAGTATAGACCTTGAGCGGGTGTTGTACACTAAATGCCAGGAGCTGGGCATCACTCTGATGAGTGTAGGTCACAGGGACACACTTAGACAGTATCATCAGTTAGAGCTCCGCCTACAGGGGCGGGGCAACTGGACAATGCAGCCAATCACAGACAATGTTATATCTGTATGACAGTATTACGGTTGTAGATAATCAGTTAGGTTATTTTAATAAAGGGTTATTTAAAACAAATCATTTGAAGATATGGGGAAAATGTAATACTAATTTGATAATTTTGCAACTTTTTTGTTGTTAAGGCATTAATACATCCATATGCATTTGGGCATTTTTATTTGGTTTTGTATGACTGGGTAGCAAATACTAGATGTATACAACTGTTTCATGGTTAAGAGTACACTCAGTGAATGATCTCATTCCCCTTACATTTCATTACATGGGCATGTATAATTTTAATTGTGTAACAAGAAGAACCTCACCTCATGGAGTAGTTTTAGAATTAAATTTTGTAGTTGTATTCTGGTGATAAAGAGTTTGTTTGAAATCCATTCCAAAGTATATCTTATTTACTTGCCACAGCAAATGCTTATGTGTGTTAGAAACATTGCTTGAACATTACTAATATGGTTGCTGAGTGTGAACTTGTATATTTTAAAAGCCTTGGTTTTAAAAGGACTGAAAAGATAATATTCAGGTAACTATTTTTCCATATTATTTTTATATGGAGATTATGCAATTTTTCTTAATATTGTTGGTCTTTTGTGATGAGCACAAATTTGCATTTAGACATGAAATGTCTGATTTTCTTTGTTTTGATTTATTAGAACTTTATCAGCACGTATTATTTTGACTTAATTGCCCATGTAATGGGAAATAATTATTATGGTTATAAGTAATGGTTTTAATAAAAATATATATATTATTTGTTAGCTTTTGTTCTTTTTAAGGTCATGTGACCTATTGCTCTCATTTTTCCTCTGGTTATAAACTCTTTCCTGCTCAACAGGTCATGAGACGTGTTGCAGAAACCATCAAAAACTCTTGTGTACCTGAACCAGTCAAACTGTTGGTATGCTTATATACCTTACTAAACAATCAGCCTTGTACAGAGACTGGGACATTTGTAAGTTCTTCTCCCTTCATTCTTTGTTGATGTGTTTTTCTTGTCTGAGATTGTGTGTTCTTTGTATACAGATAGATCCACCTGAGGCACGTTACGATCATTTTTGTCTGGCATCGTCCATCATGCTCTAACATTTGAACATTTTCAACTTCTTCTTTGATCCGCTGAATTAATATAATAATATTGGCATAGAGCATCTATGGGTGAAGGGGGAAAAATATACTTTCATGGTCCCTGTCCTTTTGGGGCCTACGGGGTGGGACAAAAACCACTAAAGTTAATGCAATCTTTAAAAAAAAAATTCTTCACTCCTTGACATCAAGCTTTGTTGGCATTAATGTTAATATTAAGCATTGAGCCCTCTACCAAAATGGTGGAATTCATGGCCTCGGAGTCGGGGGTTCTGATGCTAGGGCGGAGCCTTGTTGAAAATACATGTTTGAGAAAATTCAAACTGTATTATTTCTTTAAAAAATCTTTGTTATGTACATAGTTGTAAAGATCGAGGAAGGGTGCCTCTTCCAAAATTGTGAATTTCATGGCCCCAGGGACAGGTGTTCTGGTCTTGCATGTATGATGGGGTTCCAATAATGCATTAATTCTTTGAAAATTCCTCTGACCCTTAGTATTAAAACAATTAACCATGTGCAGTTATGATAAGAAATGGTGCCTCTTTCACAATTGTGAATTTCATAGCCCCTGGGTCTGGGGTTCTGGTGTTTAAGGGCAGTACACTGTGGCAACGCAGTTTGAAAAAATTACGCACTTTGAAAAAAAATTCAAAGTGCGTTATAAATGGGACAAAATCAAAGCACTTTGAAAAAAAAAATTCAAAGTGCGAAAATTTGGGACCAACTTGACGCACTTTGAATTTTTTTTAACGTACTATGAAAAAAAAATGTAAAAGAACAAAAATTCTGAATTTAGAGTTTAGTAATGGAAAGCATTGATTTTTTTATTTATCTATCAAAAACTTATGAATTGATTTACTACCGTTGAGAGGAGCAGAAGACGGGTGTCACAATTTTTATTCATTTTCTTATGTCGGTTATGGCGTACCATAATTTCAATTCTCACCGTAGAGTCGTTACGGATAGTTGGTCACGGCTGTCAGACCGGTTTGAAAAATAGTCGACGTGTGAGTTCAGAGTAGGCCGTAGAAGTGAGAAGGTGTGTCCTTCCGTAGTGAAAATGTTGTATGACCTGTGTGGTCTCCAGACAGAAAGCTGTGTGCATTTGGCCTGAATGTTTGGTGTGTTTGAGAAGTTTTCCTGTGTGGAAAGTGTAATATTTTGAGTACTTTGGCAGCGGTGAGTTTGAAATGTTTATTTTCTTAGCCAGGTTATTTTGTTTGTTTGTTTTTCTTTTCCTAAAGTTATTACTTTGTTCAGTTTAATTTGTTATAGATAATAAACCCGACATATCCATTTATTCCTTATTAATGCGTTATTATCGACTATGGAAACCCAGACTTTGAAATAATGTGTTATTATAGGTGACCAGCTCGACCAGCTGTGTATACAAGTAACGAACGTGTGACGTTATAGGATGATGTTACTACAGCGTTGGAGGAAATCCTACGTACTAAGACGTTGACGGTTGATGTGGACTGTGTCACAACGATAACCGGAACTTTAACCAACGACTGTGTGTTTATAGAACGAACAATACGGTAACGTCTTGGGGTCACATTTATAGAAAGATCTACGGATTTGTGCACGTGTCGAGGAAATATTCGTCTGGTCGGGTTTGACGTTATTTTAGTCGGTGTTTAGACACTACTATTATTATTTTTTTTGTTTGTTTATTATTATTATTTTTTGGTTTAGTTTTTTTTTTATTTTTGTGCGAGTGTTGTAGGTGTGTGTGTGTGTGCAGATGTTCTATATCTTGTTTTGCACTCTAATAAACTTTTTGTGCACGTTCTCTTTGTTCTTTTTCAAAGCTTGGTTACAGCGAAGGATTATTTTCATGCCATTTATCACAAATTGTGACAACGGGTAAAAGATCCAACAGCCCAACTCTTTATCTTACCATTGTGCAAGCGTCAGTAACAAATAAAACGGGGGAAAGGAGTAATAAACCCAAAAATAGATAAGCCGCATTTTCAATGCCTATATGATGCATATTTTCCAAAATACTAGTAAGTGGGAGGGGGTCAACTCCCCTTGCCGGGCCTTTGCCCGTTTTCGATGCCTATGCTATTCCCTTAACTTGTATATATGCATTGGAAATAATTACCAAACTTGCATGGGGAACCATCCTGGGACAAAGAGCCTGGTCTCAAGGTAACAGGTTAATCTACAAATTACATTTATAAAAACGTTGATATTTTGCATACTTAGGACTAGGAACATCTAATCTTGTCTGTTGAATACAATTAAGTAAATTAATTAACTAGTAATTAACTTTGAAAGATTTCACTCGCTGTTTTTCTGCCTAAAGAAGAAAAAAACATTTGTCTTTTCTTTTATAATGTTTCAGGTAGAAAATTATTGATGCCCGAACTCCTAATGTGTATTTTTCAGACTCATTCAATTAACCTTTGGACATTTTAATTGTTTTAGGTAAGTTATATATATATGCCACATTTAATTTGAATATGTAAAAGTAGACTATTTTTTGGTCATATCTGGCCTAAATTTACATAAAGAACGTATGAGGCATATGTTACTAGTATTATTACATTTTTCTTGCCTTCCCGATCCTCCATGGTGATTACGACATCAAATCAGATGATTTTTCTTCTCTCATCAGTGCTATATAAGTATATGATTATCCTTTGTAGTATTCACTATAAAAATTTCTTGTGCAAAATTGTTCTTCCAAAATTCACTCTGTCTAAGTTAACAGTAGTAATGCTTTGTTACAACTTATATTTGTTGTAACGCTCACAGATAACCAAATAGCCCACGTACATTACTTTTCAATTATGATGATAATATTGGTTTATAAAGATAATATACAGGCAAACTGTCGGTATAAGTAGAGGATGTTATAAAATCCAATTTTCTAAGACTAATTAATTAAATAATTTGAACCTATGTGAAAATGTTTCAGAGTTGGAGAATTGATTGAAGAGATACAGAGAGTCAGGGATAAGCAGGGGACACTGAACTATGTCAGGAAGAATCAACCCCCAAATTTATTTTCCAGGTACAGTAAAACTCGTTTAGCACGAACACGGATATAGCGAATTCACGGATATAGCGAAGTTTTTCTGAGTCCCCGGCAAAATTCTTAACAAATCTTTGTAAAATTTTACGGTTATAACGAACTCTTCTATAACGAATTTACGGATATAGCGAACTGATTTTGAGTCCCGTAGAGGTTAAACATAATGAAATTTACATCTTTTATAACGAACTTTCCAAGATTATAAAAATTAATAAATAAAACTGACTTTATTTCCTTTAAGAATTTTTATCATTTCCTTTAAGAATTTTTATATAAAATCCAATTCATAATAAAACCTTAGTTATCGAAGATATGTTTTGTAAATAGAGACTTCCCTATCATATTTGGTTGTAATACTTGAAGGAAAACATCCATATTGCAAATTCGCTATAATGGTTATATGAATTCGTTATATGGATAGAACGAATTACGGATATAGCAAATTAAAGTCACAGGTCCCCCGGACTTCGCTATAACCGAGTTTTACTGTATCTACTTATATAGATATTTAAATAAAATATATAAAAATTGTATATACAAATGACTTTACAAATAGCAATAAGCTGGTTTGAAATGAGGTTCCTGAATTCCCTGTAACATCAACTTTCCTGTCAATAGCTTATCGGTAGCTTGTCGGTTAAAACAACCTGGCCACCTGTGCTCCGATTATTTGTAAACAAACCACAATTTCAAGTCAAATCAACGATGAAATACACGTGCATCAAAAGTCGTCATTAAGGGTTGGGGGCTAGGCGTCAAAAGTCGTCATTTTGGAGTAAAGGATGGAAAGGTCTACTGGGGAAAAGAGTTAAGGTCAAGATCTAGTAAACGAAGGGTGCCTACAGATTTATCAAATTCAAGAAATGAATTCCTTTAATGATGCCTTATAACTTTAGCTTGGTCAAAAAAGGTGTTTCGGGGCATAATTTGTAGGAAAATAAGATGAAAATCCATATTTTAAACTGTCATTTTCAATGAAAAATTAAGAAAATTAGACATGAATATGGGAGTTTTTTTGCATAGCACACAACAAAATGTATCCAGATTGCCTACAGTCTTCTAGAAAACGGTAATTTGTATGTTCTTGGTCTCTTCTTTTAAATAATGTTAAATTTGATATAGGTATCCGGACTACTTTTCATGTGATTTCAAATTGAATTCCATGAAAATACTTTATTTTCTACATAATTCTATTAGAGCCGTAAAGTACGGGAAAAAGAAAGTTGAAAGTGATTATGACGTCATAATGGATCTAGCATCAAAAAGTCAGTCTAAGAGCATTTACTAGATCTTGACCTTAAATCCAATTTTCTATGAGTATTTTAATAATTTGGTGAGAAGTTTGAACCTATACTGGTATATGAATATTTTTCAGAGTTGGAGAATTGACTGAAGAGATACAGAGAGTCAGAGATAAGCAGGGGACACTGAACGATGTCAGGAAGAATCAACCCCCAAATTTACCTTCAAGGTATCAGGTGGTTTTCAAAAATATTCATATTTTTAGGGAGACTACTCTTCTACCCAACTTTCTGTTATGAAATTTGCTAGC